AACTGGTTATAACATGTGGTGCTAGAGGAAATCACTGGACAGCTAATCACAAGGTCAATGGTTCAAACCCACCAGCTGCTCCTTGGAAACCATATGCAGTGTAGCCATGAGTTGTAACTGACTCGATGGCACTTAGCAACAACAACCTTCAAAAAGGTCAAGATAATGGAAGTCTGCAAATCTGTTCCAGGTTGAAGAGTACTGAATAGATGCTGTAACTAAATGCACAGTGTAATTCTGAATGGGATATTTTTGCTATTAAAGACTTCATTGACATATTTGAATGTCAGTACTTGGTGGTCATAATCTATCAGTGTTAATTTCTTGATTTTGATCATTGTATTGTGGTTAAGATTTTTTTTTTTCTGTAGGTAATGTACATTAATATATTCTGCATTGATATGCTCAGGAACACAAATAGTTAAAGAGAAAGTAAAAGTTCTTCAAACTTTCCTGTAAGTTTGAGGCTATTTGAAAATAAAATTATTTTAAAAACTTGCAGAAAGTCTAGTTATTTCCAAGAAATACTATGCAAAATATTAAAGCATTTTCTGAGGACATTTGACCCTACTCTTTAGTGGCTAAAAAAACTTAAATACTTATTGATGAAGATCAGAGACTACAGCCTTTGGTGTGAGTTGTACCTCAATGTAAAGAAAACAAAAATCCTTACTGTGGAGCTAATAAATAACATCCATGTAATGGAGAAAAGTTTGACGTTGTCAAAGAATTCATTTTTCTCAGATCAACCATCAACACTCATGGAAGCAGCAGTCAGGAAATCAAATGACATACTGCATTAGGCAAATCTGCTGCACAAGACCTCTTTAAAGTGTTGAAGAGAGAGGGTGTCAGTTTAAGGACTAAGGTATGCCTGATACAAGCCATGGTAGTTTCAATAACCTCATATGCATGCAAAAGTTGGACAATGAATAAGGAAGACCATAGAAGAATTGATGCATTTGAGGTATGTTGTTGGAGGAGAATATTGAAAGTGCCATGGGTTGCCAAAAGAACTAATAGATCTGTGCTGGAAGAAATACATCCAGAGTGCTCATTGGAAGCCAGGATGGCCAGACTTCGTTTTTCATACTTCAGATGTATTGTCAGGAGGGATCAATCACTGGAGAAGGATACCATCCATGTTTGGTAAAGTGAAGAAGACCCCCAATGAGATGGATTGGCACAGTGGCAGCATCAATGTGCTCAAACGTAGCAACAATTGTAAGGTTGGTCTAGGATTGGGCAGGTGTTTCATTCTGTTGTACATAGGATCATTATGAGTCAGTACCGACCTGATGGCACCTAACAATAACATATAATAGGTTGCATTTCAGAAAAATAACCTAAAGAGACACACAATAAAGTGTGACATTTGGCTGTATGTTTACAAAAATTTTGCAAAAATCTTAACTAGTCATTTCAGAATAAATCATTTTGTTGAATATATATATCCAAATGAATTCCTTGGAGTAGATTGGCACTTTGATCACCATTAAAGCAGAAGCAATATGGAAAATGTGGCTTTTCCCTTCATTGCTGCTTGCGTGTGTGCTGAGCATTGTGTTAAGCACACAAGTTAAGATACAGCTCTGTCCCTAGTTCCTTGATTTAGTGCAGAGGAGAAAGCCTGATTTAGGGAACAGTACAGGCCCCTGTATGGACTTTATTTGATGTTATGCTACAATATGTATGTTCTATTCTACTCTTTGAAAGTATACTTTGTGCAGAATAGGGAACTTTTCAAGTCTGTAGCATTTTCAAGGTAAGAACTGATATTCTTTTGTAACCAGAAAAATACCTCCTACTTCGTTCACTATTTTATCTACCTGGTGTTGTTATTAGGTTCAGACTGATAATGAACCTGTGCATAACAATGAAACATTGCCAGGTCCTGCACCATCCTCACAATTGTTGCTATGTTTGAACCCATTTTTGTAGTCACATCAGTCCATCTCGTTTGGGGTCTTCCTCTTTTTCACTTACCCTTTACTTTACTGAGAATGTTGTCCTTTTTCAGTGTTTTTTTTTGATGTACACCAAAACACTCAGGAGTATATAATCATCTAAACACTCAAAAGGCCTGCAAGCCTGCCTCTTTGTTGCTAGCACACAGCCTTTTTCTTTCCATGAGTCTAGAGTCCTCAGTTGCTTTCTCTCTCCATGTCCTTGTCTCTGCTTCCATCCCTGGTGTTGCTGCTTCTCTGGATAGGTTTGACATTCTGCTCATGCTCTTCTCCCTTGCTGATTCCTGGACTATAAGATTAACTATTCCCCCCTTTTTGTTAAAAAAAACTTCTACCTTTTCTTTCTATCCCCCTCAAGTGTCTATTTTACAACAGTAGGTAAGGTAAACCAATATTCATAAGACAGCCAAGAATTTTAACATTATTTCCCTTCTTTTACCCATTCAGACTATGCCTCAATCCCTGTATCACAGAGCCATGTTTTTCCAAGGTTGAATAAACATCAGTCTTTACCTCTGTCCCAGAAAATAACTGGCTTTTAATGCAATTGAAGAGCCCACTTAGCTTGTACAGTAAATAGCTTGAAGACCTTTTGTTGAAACAAATGCTGAAGAATCCTGAAAATATCTCAAATTTCACCAAGCTATCTGGAATTTCAGTTAATAATTATTGCTTATCTTTCAGATTTAGATGAGAACAAAGAATAGCAAGAACTTCCTGAAACAGATCATCTAAGTAGAACTCAAATTTTCTAATCAGATGAGTATTATTTGCTATCTTAAATATATTTTGGAAAAGATAAGGTATAAATAAACAAAAAATGTTTTTCAAATGTTTAATGAGCTGGATTAGGACTTGAGCATGAACTTGCATAGTAACCATATATTCAACTTCCCTTCCCCTCACCACTCAGTCACCAACAATAAATAAAACTATAAAAGCAAACTTAAATACATCCCTCCTGCTTTCTTAAAAAGGGTAAAGTTTTAATATTTAATTCCATTTGTAGTCCTTTTGTTTTCACAACAGTACATATCTTCTTTAAATAGTGAAGACTTGAATCTTTCTTATGTTCAAATGGTCTTTTATTATTTACTATTTTTCTCTCCTTCATTTGTTACTTTTTCTTCTTCTAGCCTTTTCATCATTTGAATGGAAAGTCTCCTGAATCTATTCTTCAAATCTATTATCATTTTCATTTTTATTTCATTTGGTTTTAACAGAGATTATTCACTCTTAATCCATCTCAGGAGAAAGATGAGGCTTCTGCTCCCATAAAAATTTACAGTCTCAGAAACCCTATACAGAGTCACTATGAGTTGAAATTCACTCAATGGCAGTGGGTTTTGTTGTTGTCGTCATTGTTGTTGTTAAGTGCTGTCAAGTCGGTTCCCACCCATAGCAACCCTGTACAGGATTTCTGAGGAGCAGCTGGTGAGTTTGAACTGCCAACGTTGTGGTTCAAACAGACTTTGCAGTCCAGCACATTAACCTACAATGCCATGGTTTTAATTCATCGATTGATTTTTTGTTTGTTTTCAGATCAGGTTTTCCTTTATAGATGTGGAAAATAGATTTATGTGTATGTGTATTATTAAAAGGCATTTCAACCCCTAAAGAAAGAAGAATCGAAGACTAAAGACTTATTTTATGATAACATTTAATCAACTGAAATTTTATACAAAATGGAATTTGATTAGGCAGAATCTGAGCTCTCATTGCAAATAGTGAGCATATAAATGCTAAAGCAAAGACATAACATTCTAATAAGACCATTTGAAACATTGAAACACAGCTACAAAAACACCATATTAAGCCTTACTTTTAGGAACATTTCATTCATTTTTCTTATACGTATTTCTTAGCATCGATTAGGATTTCCTTGGTTTTAGTTTAATAATCTTTGGGAATTGAGACTTAGTGCCTATGTTCAGAAACTAACCTAACACTAAACCTGGGAGCATAGTCCCATAGTCTCAGGGGCCATGATGGCCAATTGGCATCACAGAGTCCACAAGACAAGATAATGTGCTATATCCTACTTTGGTAAGCAGTGACTGGGATCTTAAAAGCTTATGAACAGTCATCTAAGGCGCAACTATTGGTGTCTCCCTATCCAGAGCAAATAAGACTAAAGAAAGTAAAAAATGCATGGAAACAATTAATCCAAAGGAGTAATGGGCCTTGTGAACCCCAGCTCCATGACCCTGAGAACAGAGGAACTAGATGGTGCCTAACTACCACTGCTGGACAATCTGGAAGGGATTACAATAGGGTGGGAGAAATATGTGGAAATAAACCACAAAACAATAAAAGGACCAGGCTTACTTGTCTGATAGAGGTTGGTGAAATCCCTGAGATTATGGTCTTTAGACACCCTTCAGACCTGTACTCACTCAGAGGCTCAACTTTCAGGCCTACATGGTGAACAATAACCAGAGAAGTATGGACTTCTTAGAAAATGCAGCCATACAAGATTAAAAGGGCAGCATTTGTGCAGAGATAAATCTCAGAAGGCAGGAAGAGATAAGAAAAAGAATGAATGGAAATGGTAAATACAGAAAGAAAGTGGGAAGAGTGCATTGTGGAGATAGCATTCAATGTCACAAAACAAACTGTGTATAAATTGAATAATAAAAAAAATTCACTCTGTAAACTTTCACCTAAACCACAAACAAAAAAATGCTGACATAATTACGAAGTGTTGATTTCTATGTCATCCTACCTCTGTTGGGAAGATTGCAAAAATATACACAGGAATGTCCACCCTGTATTACCCTATAAACTGTCATGGGCATTCTGGGAGTCCTGGTTAGAAAGCATCTGACCATCTGTTTTGTTTTTTTTGGAGGGAGGGACGGGATCACAAACTTCACTAAACAATCACTGAGTATTTAGAGATCTCACTAGAAGTAAATTCATTTTCACATTGGCCTTTGAGACTCAGGGTCTGTCCACTTTGATCCATATTTTCTTTGCATGTTGCCTTCATTCCAGACAATTGGAACGGAATCTGGAGCATAGGAATGATGCTTATATTTCATGTTCCAGATGGTTGTGATATTCATGGAAGCGATTGTCATGGTCTCTCAACCTAGGAAACTTGAAAGAGAATAAGATTAAGGTACTTTATACAGTTTTTTTTTTCCCACTGGGTCTGCCAAAAGTTACCATTGAAATAAAAGGTTTTTGTTTGTTTGTTTTAATATTAAGAACTAGAAATAAAAACTGTTTGAAGTGGGGAAAATAAGAACTAAAATATTTAACCCATCCATCATGACTATATTTCCCAAACCGGTTTTCCCTGAAAATGTTGCGCAACAAGCATGTTACTCTTAAGCTTTGCAGGAAAAAAGAAAAAACAGGGGGAGAGGGTAGAAATGTTAATGAAATAGAGGGAGAAATAGAAGAACAGAGGGCGACTGATACTTTGTTATTTATATAACACCTGTAATAATACTAACCTCTTGATGGGTATTCACTGAGATCCTTCAATATTACATACTTTACCTGTTTTTGCCTACTTTTACATATGGTATAATTATGAATCGGGCTGCTAATCTCACAGTTAGCAGTTGGAAACTACCAGCTGTTCCGCTGGTGAAAGATGAGGCTTTCTGCTCCGATAAAAATTTACAGATTCCAAAACCCTGAAGAGGGTTGCTATGAGTTGGAACTGACTCCATGGCATATAACAACAACAACAACAACAACAAATAAAATCCCACACTATTGACCAGAGTCTCTATTATTTTTATGAGTAGCTCTTCTATTGCTCTTAGAGGAGTAGGAGGGCATTTGTCACCTGAATTCTGTCATTTTTCTCATCTAGTTTTTGCATTGGTAAAAAACATAACTTCTGATATTATCAGCCTGAATACATTTCTTAGCCTCTATAAATATGGAGTTTATTCAATTCCATAACATGGCTTTCACACAGATATCTAGGTTTGAGGCAAGCAAAATTTCACTAGTGGAGTCATCACTGAAATTCTTGTGTGAAATGCTGTACCAACTGCTGAAATTGGTTCTCATCAAGTGGATTCCAACTCATGGCGACCCCATGGGTGTTAGAATAGGACTGTGCTCCATAGAGTTTTCAAAGGCTAAATTTTTGGAAGCTTATCTCCAGCCTTTCTTTCGAGGCTCCTTTGGGGAGTTGTTAACCACCAACCTTTTTTTTTTTTTTTCTTTTAAACAGCTGTAGAGAATTTATTTTGGAACCAAAATAATTGTTTCTTTTTTAATGTTTTATTGTGAATTATGTGATAGTTTACATGGGAGAACATTAGTTTTACATTCATCCTATCATATATCATTTCATTGCCATGGTTGCAATCCCCTCCATGCATCATCAACCAATAAAAGGGTATAAACTCTGCCCGCCTGCCCGCCCCCCCCCCACCCCCGGTCGTCAGCACACAGCCCCTCTTCCTCTCTGTGTCTGAAGTCCCCAGCTGCTCCATCTCTCCATGTCACTGTCTCTGCCTCCATCTCAGGCATCACTGCTTCTCTGAGTAGGGTCCTGCTCTACACTCTTCTTTCTTCCTGGTCCCAGGGACCTCTACTCTTAGACTGCAGAGTCTACCTTTACATTTGCAAATATCACAATCAGTGCTGATAACAATTATTCACTATTGTATCTCAACAGACCTATCCTCATTTCCTTTCATCAACCTGCCTAGACAGATTGGATACTACTCAGTGGAGATTCTACCTTCCTCCATGCCCTCTGGATCTAGGTTCCCTCTTGAAGGCTTGTAAGCCAGTCACTTCTTGCCTTTGTTGTTGTTGTTGTTGTTAAGTGCCGTCGAGTCGGTTCCGACCCATAGCGACCCTGTACAGGGTTTCCGAGGGTGTAAATCTTTACGGGAGTAGAAAGCCTCATCTTTCTCCCGTGGAGCGGCTGGTAGTTTCGAACCGCTGACCTTAAGGTTCACAGCCTGATTCGTAGCCACTACGCTACCAGAGCTCCTTGCCTTTGTAGCCACCCCCAATTTGGGTAGCCAATGTCCAAGTTGCCCATCCCTGTACCACCAACCTTTTAGCTAGTAACAGAACGCTTAATCATTTATGTTACCAAGGGATTTAAGAGGACTGTACAATACCTCCCAATAAACAGAGTCATTGTAGCAGTCCCAGTCAGAAGGCTGCTCCCAGAGAGGTAATAAAAGAATTACACCTGTGAAGGCAGGGGAAGGTAAAATGACATGTTATGATGCTGAAAAGGAAAATATATGTGAATAGTAGTTAGAATACTATTATAAACTCATTTTGTGCTTGCATGGTAACTTACTGCCAGATTATCCTATTTATTAGTTAAATGAGGGAAGAGCACAGGACACAGGGAAATGATTACTTCTAATGCTGACCTGTAATCAGCCCTCCAACAATTGCTGTTCCGATAGAAGCACCCAGTGCAAAAGCCTGATTGACCATGGTAGACCTAGGAAAGCAAACAAAGAGAAGCATGGTTTTCCTGGATACCAGCAAACTAACCTCACATTTTAAAGGCATAGATGCCTGCCATCTTCTGACCAGAGTACAGCATTACACAGTAACAAATGTAAGCATTATGATTTGCCTTTACTTTCATATTTTTATTTTCTTTGAAACTTTTGAGCAGTGATTAAAATTTTTTTTCTCTTAGAAACATTTAATCAAGAACAATCTTTTGATTTGTCTTGAGAAATGATCAGAAGATCTTTAGAAAGGGTTCAAAACTAACAATGTGGTACCAGGTTCTGATCCCTTTTATGATTTAGTCAACAAATATTTAAACCTCACATCTAGGTACCAAGGATACAGTAATGCTCAAAACAAAATTAGGTTCCTGTCTTTCCTCACTTCATTTCAGTGACGACAATTACTATGATCAATAAGGTTAGCAAAGCTAATCTCTTTGTTGTTGTAGTTAAGTGCCATTGAGTCAACGACTTGACTCATAGTAACCCCGTATAGGGTTTCCATGGAGCAACTGGTGGGTTTCAACTGCTGACCTTGTGGTTCACAATCCACTGCTGATCCTACAGCGCCATACCATTAATCTCTTTATAAGTCTATACCTAGGCCTTCTAATTGTGATCCATCCCAGCATAGAGTACAGAGAAAAGTCACTGAAGATAATAAAGTAAAATTTTACATGTCATCTTAGAAGTAACTGTGTTAAAATAAAATTAGTGAAAAGAAGGTCATGGCTTCAGGAATGGAAGAATGTAATAATAATAATAATAAAAGGAAATGTTACATGAGTTACAAATGAACTAGGAATGTATCTCCTTTGATGCTACCAAAGTACCTTATGCATATAAGGCAACTAATAGCTGTTGAAAGACTGACAGAGTCCAGAAAACAACAGCTAGAAAATGAGAGTTTGCTGGTGATTCAACTTCATCGTTCAAGCAAGAGAATGCACTAAACTTAGATTTCTTCCCCTTCTTTTTTTAATTTGCAAGTCGACAGTTCGAACTCACCAGCCCCTCATTGGAAACCGGATATAAGGCCTCTATGAGTTAGAACCTACTTGATGGAACTTAACAACAATAGATTTTGAAGGATTTGGAGAACTTAAAGGAGACCAAGAGTTTTTGTTTGTTTGTTTTTATAGGCTATGGGCTTAGAAATTTGTTTTAAAAAATTCAGTAAAAACAAACAAACAAGAAAACAACAAACCAAATGGTGACATTAGATGCTTTTATTAAAAAGTGAACTTTATCCTCTCTTCTTCTTTGAATAGTAGATACACATATCTGAACATAATTTGAATAAACATGCAAATCATTAAAAAAAGTAAGAAATGTTCCATGATCAGACACGTTTGTAACTGGGTTTAACAGAGTTGTTAGTTTCAACAACTCTGTTAAACCCAGTTTAACAAAAATATCCTTCAAGAATATTAATTTTCCTTTGTTCTATACTTACCAAGCCCCTTGGTGTAGAACTGACAACAAGTACTGAACTGCTAACCACAAGTTTGGTGGTTCAAACTACCAGCTACTCCATAGAAACTCTAGAGACGGTCACATTAAGTCTGAACCAACTCATTGGCACGTAACAACAACATGATTACCAAGAAATCTGATTTGCATTTTATTAATCTGAACAGACTCATTTGAATAAACATCTGGTGTGAGACATAAGTGAATTTAGCCACATGAATGAGTCTTTCAAGGTTTGCTGATCCTGCTGAGTAAGTTGAGCCTGTGTTGCTAAAAATTGTTCAGTGAAAAACTGGACCTCAACCATGGAACTACCCAAAGGTAGCCCACCTAGAGAGGCTGAGTTTATGAGAGCTAGATAAATATGTTTTATTACATCTATGAAACTGGTCTAGGCATGATGCTCAGGATTTTCTCCAGCACTTAACAACAACAACAACAAATCACCACTTAGAGTGTTTGCATTGTGTGCACAAAATAAAATTTAGGAGCTGAGCTCATTGACTCCTGTTTTCATGTGCTTAGTGTATGTTGAAAAACGTTAGTGTTTGGTTTCAACAACCTGTTAAGTTAGGTCCTGGAGAGAACCAAAAGAAAGTATACGTATTTCTCAATGGGTTTGACCTCCAAATGTACAAAAGGGTTAAAAAAAAAGAAACTACCAAGGAGGCCTTTTTAAAGTGTTGAAGAGCAAAGATGTCAGCTTGAGGACTAAGGTGCGCCTGACCCAAGCCATGGTATTCTCAATAACCTCATATATATGCGAAAGCTGGACAGTGAATAAGGAAGACCGGAGAAGAATTGATGCTTTTGAGTTATGGTGTTGGAGGAGAATATTGAAAGTGCCATGGGCTGCTAACAGAACCAACAGATCTGTGTTGGAAGAAGTGCAGCCAGAGTGCTCCTTGGAGGCCAGGATGGCCAAACTTCATCTCTCATACTTTGGACATATTGTCAGGAGGAACCAGTCAATGGAGAAGGATCTCATGTTTGGTAAAGTGGAGGGACAGATAAAAAGAGGAAGACCCCCCAGGGAGATGGATTGGCAAAGTCGCAGAATCAATGGGCTCAAGAGTTGCAACAGTAATGAGGTTGGCCCAGGATTGGGCAGTGTTTTGTTCTGCTATGCATAAGGTCACTATGAGTCGGTACCGACTCTGGCACCTAACAACAACAACAAACCAAGAAGAAATGGATCAATCTTACACAAGGAAGAGAAATAAAACTTTATATTCAGATAAGTTTTATTTACCTTTTTCACTACTGATGTCAATGAGGTTAAATTCTAAACTTTTAAAATGGAAGGTAAGTTTTTCTTTTCAAATTATCCAATTCTAATTAAGTACTTACCCTTTTCAAGCACACTTTTACCTTTTCTTCATGATTTCAATTTGTTTTTAAAATTGAGTGGATTTCTTCATAACCTGGACTCTATGGTCTTTCTGAAGTCTTGGTGAGGTGCTATGGGTTAATACACTGAATTGCAAGGTCGGTTTGAGCCACAAGATAGGTGGTTCAAGCTCACCTACCACTCCTAGTAAACCACATACAGGGTTGATACAAGTTGGAACCAATTCACTGACACTTAACAACAACATAATTTTTCTAGCTTTCTGCTTAGATGATAGTCAAATTGTTTATTTGTTATTGTTTATTGTATAAACAGGACAACTGATGACTTATCACTTTCATTCTCCAGGGTTTGTTGGTATTAAGTACTATCATGTCAGTTCCAACCCTCATAGAGTTTCCAAGGAGCGACTGGTGAACTCGAACTGCCCATCTTGCAGTTTAAGCTGACTTTGCAGTCTAGTGCATTAATGTACAGTGCCACACTAGAATTCCAGGACTCCTGGGCCTAGCTGTTTCTTTGGTTATTTAGCTAAACACTACGTCATCACCTCTCCATGTCCCCAGTGAGAAGAATCTCAGCCTGTCAGAGCTAGTAGAGATTTTAGAGATATTAAAGGATAAATAATATAATTCATTCATGTTATAGAAGACAACACTGGGAACCAGAGAGATCGACTGACTTGTCTAAAGCCACTTAAATAACAGCAGAGTTGTAACTCTATGTCAGGCTTCTTAATTTCTAACACCCAAATGCTTCCCACATTATATTACCTCGTTCTTCTTTGCTGTAGGTTCAATGGAAATGATTGTTTATTTTATTCACATATACCTATTCCTCAATTTTGTCAGTATCAAGGAAAAGAGCAAGTTGACAGTGATCTGACTGTGGTAATCTAATTCCCCTAATTACTAGGAAATGATGAACTCAGATATAGCAATGATTGTGAGTCTGGTGCAGGATCAGGCAGCATTATCTTCTGTTGTCAATAGCATTGATATGAATCAGAATGGACTTGATGGCACTCAACAATAGTAATAATATTAGGAGATAGTTCACTAAGGTAAAGATGTCTAAATTATCATCATAAATTTAAAAAATAAGTTAATAACGCCAGTTAAAACACCTCTTTCAATTCAATTCTATTCTCCCATTTGTATCTCTCAGACTACAGTAAAGATAATATTTATGAACAGTGGCCTGGATTGCTTAAAAGAAAACTGTTTCATTGTTGGATGAAAATGATTCTTTCACTCACGTGCTAGATGCTCCCATGGCGATAGCCACAATGCTTGCAAGACCTCCTATCACTCCAGGCAAACCGTGCAGGTTATGGACCCCACATGTGTCTTGAATCCTTAGTTTAGTAGCAACAAGTGGCTAGAATTGTGAAAAGAGGAGGGATTAGTATTGGTGTGGCCTTGTAAGATAAGCACTGGACTGCTAACCATAAAGCCCACAGCTGAAATCCATAAGTCATTCCTGGAAACATTATACATGGTCACTATGAGTCAGAACCAACTCAGCAGCACTTAACAACAACATAGCTGGAAGTAAAATGAAAGTACAGGACTCATTTTCCTTACAGACCATTCTCTCATCCATATCTGAAACCTACTTCAGTCAAAGAATCTGAGTATACTGATGGCAAAACTGACCACTATCATCTGTAGTAGATGGATATGAAGGTAAGCCATTGTTTCACCTACTGATGACATCTGAAATTCCCTTAAAACAACACAGAGTCCTTAATTATACAAAATAAAGAAACAACCACACACTTCAATGAAACTGCTCCTCAGGAAAGTTACACAAGTATTTAACACTCAGTTCATACTAAGCTATAAATAATTGACATCAGATTCTTTACACAAGAGGAAGTCAGGAAAAAGGTACAAACCACTGGAATGTGAGTTGTATTTTTTAAAGAAAAGTGAATGGTTCACAGTGGTGGTTATAAAAGGAAACCTCATAGTTTTGCTCTGCTAGTGAAAGGTGAGAAGATGGTGATGGAGAGATTCAAAGTTTGACTTAGAAGGTCTGCAGTACTTACAGTCAGGAACTTAAACCCAATCACAGAGACAATTCCTGCAATGCTACCAATGATCATTGAGCCATATGGTTTAATTGCCATGTCTGCACAAGTGCCCACAGCAACTCCTCCAGCAAGGGTGGCATTCTGAATGTGAACCTGTGTGGAGGACAGAAACATGGATGAGGTGAAGCGAAGAAGGATGGGAAGAATCTTGAGTTCAGAGGATTCCTAGCATGGTCTTAGTTCAAGGAGTTAATTACTTTTTTTTTTTTTTTTTTAAAGAGAATTTTTTGTATTTACAGATGTTTCTTCCAAGCAGTTGGCACTCATATATTTCTTCCCAGTACTCTTTGACAGTAGATGAGTAATCAGTCCAGAATGACTATTAGTGGTAGAAATTTCCAGAAATCAACAGGACAAGTTACTGTGTGAGGGTGGATTGTACACTGGAGCAGTGTGAGACTCTTAGGATGTATTTCTAGTAATCAGGATAAAAAGCAACCTCTGACTGCTGTGTGCCCTGTATTGTCGACTATATTCCGATATCTAAAGAGGTAATGGAGACACTTTGACATGCTACACTTTACCTAGCAGCTTCTTTCTCAGTTTTCCTATACCGAGGAAAGGGGAACCCATTTATTGAAGGGGAGACGTTATTAGTATTTTTAAAAAAGAACCACTGAGCTGTGCATATATGATTTTGTTTTTCACTTTTTCCATTTGTCTCTCTTGAGAAAATTTGTAGAGGATTTAATACATGTCTTTAATCACACTGAAAAAAAGAAAACCCTTTTCCTCCCTCAGGCCAGAAAAGGGGAATGAATGACTGATCTCAGGAACACTCCAACTTGAAGGTCATTTCTTTAGCTCACAGGTATGAACCTCAAAACACCAACTTGGGAGATAAATATTAAACTTTTCATTTTTAATAATTTTAGACTTATGTAAAGTTATAAAAATACTAGAGTTTTCATGTATCTCTCCCACCCAGTTTTCCTCAATACTAACACCTTGCATAATCACAAACTAGAAGATTCACATCAGTATAATAATGTTAACTAAAAAACTAATTAGAATTTCTCTCATTTTCCACCTGATTTATTTTTAGCTTTTCAGGATCCTGGTGGTGGTGGTGGTTATGTGCTGAAGAGTCGGTTCTGACTCATAGCGACCCTGTACAGGGTTTCTGAGGCTCTAAATCTTTATGGGAGCAGAAAGCCTCATCTTTCTCCTGTGGAACAGCTGGTAGTTTTGAACTGCTGACCTTAAAGTTTGCAGCCCAATTCGTAACCACTATGCTACCAGAGCTACATTACATTAATTATTATTTCTTTGGAAGAAATATTTGACATGTAGAAAACAGATGCATTTTGAACCATCTCATTTTCCTTTTCTGTTCTTAAAAAAACATGTTTCTTAAGGAAGATTTTTCTAAGAAATTGGAGGCAGTTAGTTATAAAGAAATATACCTTAAGTCTGAGTCTTGATATGGCACTGTAGGATAAGCACTGGACTGCTAATTGCATAGCCAGCAGTTCAAACACACCAACTGATCCTTAGAAACCCTATTCAGGGTCGCTATGAGTCAGAACTAACTTGATAGCATGAAGAATAACATATTCTGTACTAGAATATTAACTCTTTGAGAGTACTTTGTAACTTACCAGTGTGCAAATTTATTGAATAAATGAGTGAATATGTACTCTTTTTCTTTTAACTAAAAAAAAAAAAAAAAAATCTAGAGGGTATTGCCTTAGTAATGATGCAGCCATGGCTGACTCCTCTGAGCAACTGTTACATTGCTAAAGGAAATTTCCCCAGCAGTGAATAGGGTCCTTACCATATCAAGCTTCCCTCCATGCTCAACAAGGCTGGAGAACGCATAGCTTGTGAGCACACAGGCTGCGAGAGACAAGTAGGTGTTTACGATGGCCAGGTACTGCTTGTCCCCGGCTTCAGCAATGGCAGAATTAAAACTGGGCCAAAATATCCAGAGGAAAAGAGTGCCTGCAGTAAACCCCAAAAAGGATGTTAGCTCGGAAAATAATGACAATCTGAAGGATGCAATTTACCTCAGGCATTGGGAGTGTCTGTACTTTTTGGGTTAGTTATCTAATAGTTGGGAGCAGTCTTTGGTGGCTCATTGGGAGAATTCTTCACATTCATACCAGATACTCAGGTTCAATTTCTGACCAAATCACCACGCTGCTAGTCAGCAGAGTCTTGTGTGTTGTTGTAATGTTGAACAACTGTCAGCAAATACAGACTAAAAGAAAGACTTGGCGTTTTACTCCTGTAAAATAAGTCAATAGAAATCCTATGGCTCACAATAGTCTGATCACATTTTGGATGGGGTTGCTGAGAGTTGGGGCTGACTCTATGACAGCTAATAACAACATTTAAGAGAAAAGGAGGTACAGAGAGCCAGTTTAAGCAAAAGTAGTATTCAAGGATGCCCCCGGGAATGTCTTCACACCTGTGATGGAATTAACCTCCCCTTGTGTCTAACCAAATAGACATGACCCAGGCCATTTTATTTCTACTTACCAATCATTGCAAACAAGTCTGAGTGGTACACAGATTCTTCATTATCATGCCCTCCTCTCAGGCCAGGTCTGTATAAGATGCGTGCTACGGTCAAGCCAAAGTAGGCACCAAAGGCATGGATCGTCATCGATGCCCCAATATCAGAGGCCTGGGGGACACAACAATAAAAATGAAACAGACTCTCACCACAGGAGGACAGTCAATGAAATAACTACTTCATTGGTTGCAAACTTTAAGAGTGATAGGAAGACAAAGGAGGATAAAAAAAGGCAGTAAATTGGAAAACAGAGGCTTTGGAATACAAGTAACTTGCTTTCAGTTCTAGCTTTATATATTTTTGTGATGTGAATTTAGACAAGTTACTACATTTCTATCAATCTCAAGTTCTGTAAAAGTGAAAAACTATATAACATAGTTGAGATTTAAATGAGACAATGCTTGTAAAGTGTTAAGATTCTTGTTGTTAAGTACCTTTGAATCGGTTCCAACTCATAAAGACCCTGTATATAGTTTCTAAAGAGTGGCTGGTGAGTTTGAACTGGTGATATTGTGGTTAAAACCAGCCTTGCCGTCCAGTGTTTTAGTGGGCAATAAATACATGTTAAGTTACTTCTCCAGATAAGGGAAATCCTCAGCTATGTGCTGCTTTTGTTACTTAATAAAGATGCTTTGCATTCACTTAGCATAGCATGGTTAAAGCTCACATAATTGGAACTCAAAGACATGATGGGTTAAAAGCCAAATTTTCCCATTTCTTTTACCACTTTGGTGTATAAAAGTAAGAGAACCAGCTGATGCCCAGAACTCAATTAAAGAGAGGTATTTATATTTATACATATATTTATATCTCTCTTTCAGATAGAATGAATTTGGCTCAAATTTTTGTGTTTTCTGTCTCTACAGGACTGTTTCATGCTTTATACTTCTGAAAGCATGGAAATGATACAAATTTATTTATTTAAGATTTTCAAATTGAAGTTAAAAGGGTCTCCTGGTTATATTATTATTGTTGTTGTTGATGACAGATGTATTACCCTCAAAAAGCCACACTTTGTTGGAGTGACGTCTTGGGAACAAAACTATATTCATGTCAGTAGAAATGTCGGCAATCTTTAGCTTCTCAGCCACCATTAAGCCACTTTCCATCTGGGAGAACTTGACTTATTTCATGATGGCAGGGGTTTCACGAGTGTGGGAAGAAGGAACTAGTCATTCTTGGACTTTAAAAATAGCATGTATATTTTTGTCTCTCTCTTTTATTTTTTTTCATGGGCCATATAAATTTATCCACTTAATAATTAGCCAGCTATATTTGATCAAGGAGTCCTGGTATAACACTGTGAGCTAATGCACTGAACTGCAAAGTCATTTGAACCACAAGGTTGGTGGTTCAAGCTTACCAGTCACTCCTTGGAAACCATACATAGGATCACTATGGGTTAGAAACAACTGGCCAGCACTTAACAACAGCAACATATTTGGTCAAACATTTAATTAACTCATCCCTAACATGATGGCTAAGGAGTTCTGGTAGTCTAGTGCTTACAAGTCAAAATGCTGAACTCAAGGTCAGCAGTTCGAAACTACCAACCAGCTGCTCTGTAGGAGTAAGATGAGACTTTCTGCTCCCCCAAAGATTTACAGCATTAGAAACCCTATGCAGGGTTGCTATTAGTTGGAACCGACTCCATAGCACATCACCACCACCGATGTGGTGGCTGGAACTGCAGTTGCCTTGGGAAGGCCAGACAAAATGATTTCAAGAGTCTTAGATGACCCTCAGGCCAGATGCTCCCCACCTTTAGTCTGTATAATTTTCCTTCCCACGAAATCATCATCTTTTATTAAGAAAACTTTTTTTTATTGTGTCTCTCTTTAAATGCCCACATACTCATATTTTTACATAAAAGAACTACCAAAATTTAACCTTTATTTGGCCAACACACATAGTCTAAATTAAACACAACCCAACTCATTCTTTTGCTGTCAAGTTGTTCCAATTACACAGTGACCCTAAAGGATAAAGGATAAAGTCTATTGGGGTGCTAAGGTTGTGATCTTGATGGACGCAGATTTTCACATCCATTTCCTGCAGAGTGGCTGGTAGGTTCAAACCACTGACCTTTCAGTTAGTAGTCCAATACTTAACCACTGTGTCACCAGCCACCCTACAGACCACCTATTGGGTCTTTATCTGGCCTAATTACTTGACAGACCCATCTTGTACTAATAAACTCCTTTCTCCTTGCTCAAGCCATACTGGCTTTCTTTTAGTTACACGTTATTAATCCATAACTCTGTTCTTGCTGTTGTTAAGTGCTGTCGAGTCGATTACCAACCCATAGCGACCCTGTATAGGGTTTCCGAGGAGCAGCTGGTGTGCTTGAACCACTGATCTTGCAGTTCAAATGGCTTTGCAGTCTGACGCATTAACCCATAGTGTCATATCAGGACCCCATACCTTGATTTAAAATGCTTTTCTCCTTATTTATGTTTGATAAATTCCAACATATCTTTGAGGCCCAGCTCAGAGAGGCTGCCCTAGAATCTGAATTGGGTCTTTTAGTTATACTTTCTCATAAATTCCTCTACATATTTTTCATAACATATATTACAATCTGTGAAGTCCTGGTGTGCTGGACTGTTAATAGCAAGGTCATCAATTCAAACCCACCAGTCACTCCTCAGAAGCCCTGTACAGAGTTCACCATGAGTTGGAACCAACTCAATGGTGCTTAACAACAATGATTACAATTTGTAACAATAATTACATTTGATTATTACATTTCACAACAACAACATGTGTGGTTATTTGTCTGATATCTGTCTCCTGCAGTAGACTTTAAATTCTGTAAACGATAGACAACACAATTATTTGGTGCCTCATTGACTCATCTAGAAAATTGTCAAAAATAATTTGCTGTTGAGTTAAATGTTAATCATAAGAAAAATCTTGGAGAGTGAAATAAACTATTCTAATTATCCTTAGGGAATCAATGGGATTTTTGTGGAAAAGAATAAATTTGACCTGGATCTTAACAAAAGCCTATTCACCTGGTTGTTACAGTTGTTGTGTGTAGTTAAGTTGGATTTGACACATAGCAACACTTTATAGTGTTTCCAAAATCAGCTGATGGGCTTGAACCATGGACCTTGTGGTTATCAGTCTAGTGCTCATCCTACAGCACCAGGGCTCATTCATCTAGTAGCTAAATTGTAAATTGGAAATGATTATTGGTAGGCAACATCCTTGTTGTTAAGTGCTATGGAGTCAGTTCCAAGGAGTAGCTGCTGGTTTTGAATTGCTGATGTTGTGGTTAGCAGTCTAATGCTTATTCTACAGTACCATACAAGGACTCCATGGCAACAGAGTGTAATGAAAAGACTTGTGGAGTTAGAAAACAAATCTGGGTGTGAATCAAACTTAGCAAAGTCTGTGATTATCTGTATAAATAGTAACAACAATAAAACCTACATTACAGTGTTGAAAAGATGAAAGAAGACAAGGTATGTAAAGTCCTGGTGTGGTGCTGTAGGATAAGCACTGGACTGCTATCTGCAAAGCCGGCAGTTCGAACCCACCAATAACTCATTAGAAATGCTATATAAGGTCACCATGAGCCTTTAACAACAACCACCTAAAAACCCAAGTAAACAAAAGACACTCAACAAATTTTGGCTAATTCTTACTATTTGTTGTGGAATCACTTTGACCAAACTTTAAGTTCTGGTGTCAGACAGGTTTATCCTATCAGTGAGCACTTGCTATGTGTTATTGCCCGAAGGGGTGCTCAAAACCAGAGAAGTATAAATCCTTTAATCCTTACCTTGAATATCTCACCAACAAGATATTCGTTGCCAGCAAAGACAGCAATTTCAATAATGGTCATGATCAACATTTGGATTGGGCTTATTTTTCCCAGGACAGCTCCAAAAGAAATCAAAACTGTAGCTGTGCTGAAGTCTGCATTTATCATGCTGAAGAGAAAATAAAGACTCAAATGAAAAACAATAAATGCATACTTAAAACTGTAAGCCATCAAATCTGATTCATGGCGACATCAGGCGTGTGAGGGTAGAACTGTTCTCCACAGAGTTTTCAATGGCTCAGTTTTTTGGAAGATATCCAGGCCTTTCTTATGAGGCACATCTGAGTGGGCTGGAAACTCCAGCCTTCTGGTTTGTACTCAAGTGCTTTAACCATTTGCACTACCTAGGGCAGGGGTGGGGGACCTTTTTTCAGACAAAATTTATAACATCATTCAATGGTCCATACAAAATTATCAACTTAAAAATTACCCTGCTGTATTTGGTTGAACATTTACTTAACTCACCCCTAATGTGATGGCTGAGATGCCCTGGTAGCAGAGTGGTTACAAGTTAGGCTGCTCATCTCACAGTCAGCAGTTCAAAACTACCAGTGATTCTGCAGGAGAAAGATGAGGCTTTCTGCTTCCATGAACATTTATAGCCTCAGAAGCCCTGCACATGGTCACTATTCGGAACCAACTCCATGGCCCATAATCAACACCACCACCAAGTGATGGCTGTTACTGTGGTTGCCTTGGCAGGCCCAGACCAAATGATTTGTGGGTCTTATGTGACTTGTGGGCTGGACATTCATCACCCCGAACTAGGGACTCTAATAAATTATATCATCATCTTACCTAGAGTGAAAGAAAGGTTCCTCTCTCCACCAGCATCCCAGGCCTACTCTTATCCTCCCAACTTACTCACTCATCTCTTACCCTCAACAGATATTGCTTCGTTGTTCTACGTTTCTTTTGTTTTTACTTTATCATTTCTTTTTTGTTAGGGTTTTAATTTATTTATTTTCTGATCTGATAAATGGATTATTTCATGGAGTGATAGTTTACTGTTGCACAACAAGAACATTTAAAATACAATTTTAGAAGAATAACTAATGGTACATTCTTTTCTCTTGTATCTGAGAAGGAAGAAATAGTAATTTTATGAAGAGGATTTCTTGAACTTGAAAGTCAAACTCAGTTGAGTAAGGCATTGGTTTGGAATATTTGATTCTGACAATGTTCTATTACCAAAGAAGGACGATTTTCCAGCCAGTTCAGAACTGGGGTGACAGGACGCTAGGTAGAGCAACAATTGTTCAGAAAACTTAATGGCTGAAACAGGAGGGATGCTCACTTTTTTATTCCAATGTGAACTTTCTGTCCATGGCTGTGCAGGATGCCCTGAGCAATTGTGCCCCATTGGAGGCCCAGAGCAGCAATCAATAAGTTGATGCCCACACTGCTGAAGCCATATTTCTTCAAGAATGTCATGAGGAAGCCAAATCCAACGAATATCATAACGTGGACATCTTGGAACACTGGAAAAGAGCAGAGGAAAAACAAATCTGTGTTGGATGAACACTGAGAAGGTGATGTTAGCTGCTGCTGAGTCAGCCCCACACTCATGATGACCCCTGACTCAGTGGAAAGAAATGCTGTCTATTCTGTGCCATTTCCAGGACCATTTGCAAATCAGACCGTTGTGATCCATGGATCTTCACGGGCTGATTATTGAAGTAGATTGCCGGGCTTTTCTTCCTAGTCCATCTTCATTGGGAAGCTGAGACTTATTCAACATCATTCAAGCCCCCACCGACAGATGAGTGATGGCTGCCAATGATGTTCATTGGCTGGAAATCAAACCTAGGTCTCCCACTTGGAAGGTCAGAATTCTACCACTGAGCAACCATTGTCCCCTAAGAAAATGTCCCATCACATTCTATGCCTTTTATTAAATACTACTCTGGTAGCATAGTGGTCATGAATCAGGCTGCTAACCTCACAGTCAGCAGTTCAAAACTACCAGCTGTTCCACTGGAGAAAGATGAGGCTTTCTTCTCCTGTAAATATTACAGCCTCGGAAACCCTGTACAGGGTTGCTATGAGTCAGAACCAACTCCACGGCACATAACAGCAAAAACTTTAGAATGAAACATCAAGAAGAGAGTGTTAATTAGGAAGCAAAAAAGCTGGGTGCTAGTGCCAACTTGACTACATATCAATCATGAGACCTTAAGAAAGTTGCTAAGTATTTCCCTTTTTCACTAGGCATTAACTATCCTGATGTGCCCTTGATGCGTTCCACAAAGGGGTTTCCATTACTTCCACGATAACAAGAATCATCTAACACTTCTCATTTCTCACACCAACTTTTTGTATGTATGTCAGCTTTTGTATTTGATATACTATGTTTACATTTATTTAGTGTGCAGCACACTACAGCAGTTAATTACTTCCTGAGGTTTCCATTTCCTACACTGGATTGTGAATTTTCTGATCAAAAGGATTAGATCACATTTGTCCTTTACTCCACAGAATTGGCCATAATGGTCTGCATATGGGAGGAGGAGCACTAAGTGTTTGATGGATATATGAATGAGCTAAAATCTCCACCTATAAATTATGAATCATAAATAATATCAGTTATTATTTATGGATAATAAACCTACTCACACTATCCACTCACTGACATCAAGTTGACTCCAGCTCATATTTCTCATATTTCAAGTAGAACTGCTCCTTAAGGATTCTGATACTCTAAATCTTTTGGGGAGCAGATAGCCTCATCTTTCTTTCACAGAGTGGCTGGTAGGTTTGAACCTGGTTAGCAGACAAGTGCTCAACCCACTGTGCCACTAGGCCTACTTCCTGGAAAACTAACCAGATTATGATTTGATGTACATAGGATACTTCTTTGTTAGCACTTTATAAATTATGAAGCAGCAAACAAACACAAAGAAGATAGTTTTCTTATTGAGATGAGACTATTAAACTTGATATCTGAAGATTTGAGCTCAGATCCTCCGATTCCGATAAAGAATTGTATGACCTTGGGCAAGTCACTTATTCTATGTGCGTTCCAGTGTCTCATCTGCAAGATTGAAAAGGCCCTATTTCACAGGGTTGTCTTGAGTGAGATTACCTGTGTGGGAGGACTTGTAGGTGATAAAACATGATACAATTAAAACACATAATTAAATAATAGGTAGAGGAAATGCAGACTTTTCCCTTAGAAAACTTACCTTGTCGAACCATGCAAAATTGCTGATTTTTTAAGTGGAAAATGTTTGGCAATTTCATACGATCCATCCTAATGGATACGCAAAGCAAACTGAAACCAAGTTAGAAATAAATGCAGAATCAGAGAACAAAAAATAAAATATTTAAGTGCTAAATTAGCATTAGCCATTGTGGTCAGAGGTTTCAGTGGAAACAGGTAATGGGAAAGATAGGCCTGGAAAAATGTCCCAGAGGAAACTGATTGTTATGGATTCCCAAGTGATTCCTATAGATGTCCGGGTGATTCTCAGGTGTACATATGATTCACCTGGAGAACTTGTTAAACAGAAAATTCGGACTCAGTATATCTTTTGTGGAAATGAGAATTCTCAACAAGGGTTAGACCCCAAATGAACTGGTTTGAAGCTTTAGTTGTACCATCGGTCTTAAGTGGCAGCATGGTTGAGAATGGGAGATTATGGGGCTCCATTCCAGCTTGTCTACTCTAAAGGGTGCTGTGTTGTACTACCCAGACTCCCTTTTCAGATTAAAGCACCTTTTACCTTTATTTGTCCCTTTTACCTTTGTTGCTAGAGATGCTGTCAGGTGACAGTTCTCAGCTCTCAGTCTTTCCTGGGAATTGTTCTTCTGTTATTCAAGGTTACAACCTTCCCCATGGTTGTGCATTTAATGACTGATTCATTTGAAAGACCCTTTGCCCCAGGTAAAGACCCATTTCAGCTTCAAAGCTTCCTTTGGGGCCAGCTGAGGCCTACTCCCTGTGTCTACTCCCTGTAACACAAATGTTGATCCTAAGAAAGCTCCTTAATTCGTTTCCTTTAGGCTAATGTCTATATCCTGAAGAACTCAACCAGCAACAATTTTCCTATGGGATTCACCTGCCTTAATAAGCCTTTCCTGATTTTCTTCCTTGCCACAACTTACATTTTTAAAAACTTTGTTACACAGGTGTAATTCAATGTGGCAGTTATTACATTCAGATGAGATGAAGATGCTGGCTTGCAAAAGGTGCTCAACATTTGAAAATGGCCCCCTGCAGAATTTTGATGACTATTTGAAAAGCTACTGCTCATTTGTTAGTTTGCCATACTGTGGTGGCTTGTATGTTACTATGATGCTGAAAGCTATGCCAATGGCGTTTTAAATACCAGCAGGGTCACCCATGGTGGACAGATTTTGGTGGAGATTCTAGACTAGAGAGGTACACCATTTCTCAATGGTTGTTGTTAAATGCCGTTGAGTTGGTTCCGACCCATAGCAACTCGGTACAGGGTTTCCGAGGGTGTAAATCTTTACGGGAGTAGAAAGCCTCATCTGTCTTCCGCGAGAGCTCTCAATGGTTAGGCACTTAAAACCTTATGACTAGCAATGGGACATTGTCTGATATAGTGCCAGGAGGTGAGTCCCTCAGAATGGAAGGTACTCAAAACAGGGCTGTGGAAATGTTGTCCCCTCAAAACAGAATTGACATGAATCATGTAGGATCTTCATTTTCTGATTGGGCACAATTCAAAATGAGCAGAAACAGCTAAAAACATTCATTAATAATTGGAATTTGCAATGTATGAAGTATAAATCTAGGCTTATTGGAAGTCATCAGAAATTAAATGGAACAAATAAACATTGATGTCCTAGGCATTAGTAAGCTGAAATGGACTGGTTTTGACCATTTTGAATCCGACAATCATATGGTTTACTATGCGGGATGACAAACTGAAGAGAAATGCCATTGCATTCATCATAAAAAAATCATTTCAAGATCTATTTTGAAATACAATACTGTTTGTAATAGGATAATATGAATACACTTACAAGGAAAACCAGTTAATACTACTACTCAAATTTATGCACCAACCACTAAAGCCAGTGTTGATGATGAGATTTAAGAATGCTATGAACTTCTCCAGTCTGAAATTGATACAGCATGAAATCAAGATCCATTGATAATTACTAATAATTGGAATGCAAAGGTTGCAAACAAATAGGAAAGACATGTAGTTGGAAAATTTGGCTTTGGTAATATAAATGATGCTGGAGATAGCATGATAGAATTTTGCAAGACGACACATTATTCATTGAAATTATCTTATTTCAACAACATAAATGGCAACTAAACATGAGAACCTCACAAGATTGAATACACAGGAACTAAACTGACTATATATGTGGGAAGAGATAATAGGGAAGTTGCATATGACAATAGAGACAATAGAGAAGTTCAGTATCATCAGCCAAAACAAGGTCAGAGGCCGACTGTGGAACAGGCCATCGATTGCTCACATGCAAATTCAGGCTGAAGAAAATTAAAACAAATTCATGAGAATCAAAATATGACCTTAAGTATACCCCACCTGACTTTAGAGACCATCTCAAGAACAGATTTGATGCATTAGACACTAGTGATGGGAGACCAGAATAGTTGTGGGATGACATTAAGAATAGCATCCATGAAGAAAGCAAAAGCTCATTTAAAGATAGGAAAGAAAGAAAAAACTAACATGGATGCCTGAAGAGACTCTGAAACTTGCTCTTGAACACAGAAACCAAAGCTATTGGAAAAAATGATGAAGGAAAGAAACTGAACAGAAAGTTTCAAAGGGAAGCTTGAGAAGAAAAGTATAATATTATAATGAAATGTTAAAAGACATGGAGTTAGAAAACCAAAAGGGAAGAACACACTCAGATTTTATCAAGCTTAAACAACCGAGGAAAACACATCCAAGAGGGCTTGAACTACTTATTGATGAAGATCAAAGAATACAGCTTTCAATATAGATTGAACCTCAAAGTAAAGAAAATGAAAATATTCACAACTTGACCAATAAATAATATGATGATAATGGAGAAAAGATTAGAGTTGTCAGAAATTTCATTTTGCTTGGATTCACAATCAATACTCACGGAAACAGCAGTCAAGAGATCAAACAATGTATTGCATTAGGTAAATGTGCTGCAAATTACCCTTTCAAGGGTTAAAAAGCAACTATGTCACCTTGAGGATTAAGGTGTGCCAGACTAAAGCCTTGACATTTTCTTTCTTTTTAAACTTTTTATTGCGAACCGAGTGAAGGTTTACAGAACAGATCATTAGTTCCACATTCAATAAATCACTGGAGAATCTGTGCCGTCAGGTTCATATCTGTCTGTCTCTCCAAAGCTACTTGAAAATGTTCACGTTGGCCATGAGGTGCCTAGCAGGCAGTGTGTTTGCCAGACTTCTTTTTCCACCCCTGCTCAGCTTCTCTAACCTTTCCTCTGAAGCTCAGGGTTTCAGGATTATCCTATGTATCTGTTTTAT